AATATATATATATATATATATATATATATATATATATAAGCAAAAAGACTACCTGTAAAGTCACACATGTCATCACTCACATGATTGGATTGTAGAGCACATATGACTAACAATATCTAAAAATCATATTTTATTGGATCCATTGGATGAGACTTAATAAGAGCTTAGAGTTGGATAATTAGATAGAGATCTAATTTCTATTAAGCTAGAGATAATTGGATGAAGATCCAATATCTAATATGCTAGATTAATAAGATCCAATACCCAATAGGGCAGGATCCATTAGGGTTAGCAAAGAGGACTCTCTATAAAAGGGATATGAGACTAAAAGGGTTATAAAACTGAACCCCTTTAGCCGCCACCTCCTTAGCCTTCCCCCTTCTTCCTCCAATCTACCCATTCTCCGGCATGCGAGGACTGTTTGCGTGGTCGCAAAAGTAAGTAAAGAATGTCTTATGCGAGGAAGTATGTCGCCGCTTCATCCATCGTGTAGATCACCACTAGAGAGGAGTTTGCAAAAGCTCGTTCATCCATCATATAGATTTGTAGTTTTGGGGATATATGATCTCATGTATATAAGAGCGTCTCACGAATCTTACGTCGTTTTCAATTTCAAAAGTTTTTTCTTTCTAATCATCACACAAAGATCTTATATCATTCTTTTAGGAAATTGATTTTGTTTTTTATTTTTTACTATGCATGTGATGCTCTTTCAAGATTTCTCAACATTTGAGATAGTGTTTAGGATTAGTTTGTTTCCTTATTTCGTAATAGTATCATGTGAGTACTTACGAGAACTTTTAACCATAAGATACCACCTTGAATCTTTTGTTACGTGATTATTTAGAGCTTACGAAAGAGCTTACGAAATATATGTTTGTAATTTGTATTGTCTATTAAGTATTTGATAAAATAATTATTCCCAAGTTAAATGCTTCTTTTGATAAAATAAGGAGGATGAATCATCACGATGATCAAAGCTTGCAATAAACTAAATTTGATCTTAAAACATTTACTCCACAGCTACTATCTAGTACTTTATACGTCGATTACGTGACATGTTAGGAATTCAAAACCGACCTAGCTCTAATGTTGAGTTTTAATAAGAGATCTAATTAATAAAGGTCTCTTAGATATTTAATCTTATAAAAATTTAAAATTAAGGATCAATAGGATTTTCTACTGGGTTGCGGACGTCTCCGGAGAATCTTTTTACACTGATTAATTATCTGATTAATAATCAAATTCACGTGATAATATATCACTAGATCATCCATGTGTCACTCGTCTTTATCATTCAATAAATATTATTATTTTGTCTGAAGTTATTTTGAATTTAATAAAACAATTAAAATCATTTTAGCGGGTTGAACAGACTTAACTAATGCGTTTGTGTTGCTGTGATGTTCGACAAGCCAAACGGCTCGGCTTTTCAACAAACATCTATCGGGCGACGAAGGATTAACAGCATGAGTCCCACCCTCCTTTTACATAGAGTAAATAATAATAATAATAATAATAATAATAATAATAATAATAATAATAATAATAATAAGGATAAAATTTTATAAATACTTCAAAGAAAATCATATATTTTTACTATTATCACTTTCACATCATAAACTAAATAGTCACAAAGGGCAACACATGCCCTCTCTCTTTTTTTCTTTTTTTTTTTGCCTGCTTCAATATCTTTTAGTTATATAGTTAATGACATGGGGCTGGAGGAGGGGGCTTCGAGGAATTTAAGCCCCGGCCCTCGGTGCCTTGGCGGGAGGCACGAAGAATTCGGCGACGATCCGCCGTTGGATCTTTCCGGTGGCGGTCTTCGGCAGCGAATCCGTGATGAACACCCGCTTCGGCACCTTGAACGCCGCCAGGTTCTTCCGGCAATGCCTCAACACCTCCGCCTCCTCCATGTCCGCCCCTTCCCTCGGTATCACGGCGCAATTTATCTGCATCCGTTACGTCCACATCAGAATTATCGCAACCGTCGATTAACAAACCAATGAAGTAGATCCGACGGGCTTACCTCCTCCCCGTATTTGTCGTCGGGCACGCCGAACGCCACGCCCTGCGCGATGTCCGGGTGTTCCAATAGCACCGCGTCCACTTCTATCGGAGAGATCTTCTCGCCTAAGGAAGAGATCGAGAGATCAGACGGTTGAGATTGAAAAACGGACGCAAGGGACGATGTGATTTGGGGGAAGATGGACGCGTACCTCCGCGGTTGATGAGCTCCTTGATGCGGCCGACGAGGTGGAGGTAGCCATCGGCGTCGAGGAAGCCGACGTCCCCGGTGTGGAACCATCCAAAGGCGAAGGCCGCCTTGTTGGCTTCTGGGTTATTCTTATAGCCCTTGGCCACGTTAGGGCCCCGGATGCACACCTCCCCGGGAACGTTTGGCGGGCGGCGCGCGCCCTCCTCATCCAGGATTGCCATCTCCAGTCCCGTCGGCCGCCCCACCGCGCCCGGCTTCCGTGGGCCGTCCTCCGGTAGTGGATTCGACGCCATCTGGTGCGCCGCCTCCGTCATCGCGTACGCCTCCAGCACCGGCGCTCCAAAGGCCGCCTCCAGGTGCTCCAGAATCGCCGGCGCCAGCGACGCGCTGCAGCTCCGGATGAAGCGGAGCTCTGGGTAGGCCGGCTCGGGCCGCGTGGCGTGGCGGTCGAGAAGGATTTGGTGGATGGTGGGCACTGCTGAGTACCACGTGGCACCGGAGGCGCGCATGTCGGCCCAGAAGGTGGAGGCCGAGAAGCGGCCGGCGGCTGGGAGGGCCACGGCTGCGCCGGCGGAGAGGGAGGAGAGGAGGGTGGCTACCAGGCCGTGGACGTGGAACAGGGGGAGGACGATTACGGTGGAGTCGGTCTCGCTGAGCCGGTACACGGAGCGGATGTTCTTGACAGAGGCAGCCAGGTTGAACTGGGTGAGGGGGACGCCCTTGGGCCGGCTCGTGGAGCCGGAGGTGTGCAGGAACAGCGCGACGTCGGAGGGGTCATTGACGCGCGTGTCGAGCGGCAGCGCGGTCCCGTCTGCTGCCGTACTGCCGGCGGGGAGGGAGAGCTCGAGCGTGCCGGAGGCGTCGGGGAGGGACGCGGCGGAGCGGGGGATCCCGAGCTCGGCAGCGGCGGCCTCCGCAGCCGCGTTCCCCTCGGCGTTGATCACCAGGAGCTTCGACTCCGAGTCAGAGAGGTAAAACGCGAACTCTTCCTTAGTATATGCGGGGTTGAGCGGCGCCGCCACAGCCCGGGCGCGGATCACGGCCAGGAACACGATCACAAGCTGCACGAACACAAAAGCAACGGCATCGTCAGCGGCACGGCCGGCAGACTCCGCGGCGGATATCAATCAAATCAAAGCTAAAGAAAGCCAAACGAACCTCGACGGTGTTGGGGAAGGCCAGGGCAACGACGTCACCGGGGAGCACGCCGGCGTCGGCAAGACAGGCGGCGGCGGCATCCACAAGCTGGTGGAGGCGGGCGTAGGAGAGTTCGAGGCGGCCCGAGATGGATATGGCGCGCCGGGAGGGGAAGTCCCCGGCAGCCTTCCTCAGCACTCCAGTGAGAGTGAGACCTTCCATCGTCGTCACCCGCTTCGATACCTAACCAAGCAGAGAAAACAAAGCTACAACACAAAACTGCACCAACCGAAACGGGAACAAGGGACAGTGGAAGAGGGATAGAGGGAAGGGAGAGAGGGGATGGCTTTAAATAAGGAGAGGACGGTGGAAACAAAATAGCAACGACACGTGTCAACTGTAGGAAGACGCGTATGGGCGCACGGCTCCCTTCGCGTTTGTGGCCTCATCGGTGACGGGAGACGTGACGGCGAACTCCGCGGTCGTTGGTTTGGGTTCATAGCAAGCTGTCGCTGTGCGCGGCTTCTCTTGTCGTGTAGGAGGAGAAGGGAAAGGGTGTGGAAAGCGGCATACGCGACCGGATCCACCACCTTGACCGCGGTGGCGCGTGCGCCAGCGTCTTTCTTTCTGTCAAACGTGGTTATGGTGTTTATCCGGTGACGATAAGCCAATGACCGCGTCGTCTCAGATTTAGGCCCCCCGGGGGACGGGGGGAGGGAAAAGAGCTCTTCGACCCATCGAAGAGGCAAGCAGGACGCGCCGACCCCATTGCTTCCCAAATGCCTCGAGAGAAATACGAGTAAATATATTACTATTATTATTATTATTATTATTATTATTATTATTATTATTATTATTATTATTATTATTATTATTATTATTATTATTATTATTATTATAAAACCTCACATTTTGAGTGTTTTTTTAACCGGTGTCCTTTATTTTATTTTTAAAACAGTATCATTAATTTTAAAAATACCTAAACTTCTTTCAAAATTTTGTTTTGATCCTATTATAATGTTTTTTGATCAATTATAGTATTTTGACCATTATAATAAAAACACTATAAGATTTATTAAAAAATACTATAAATAATTTAAATAGAGTCATAACCTCGTTCAAATTAACTATAAATTTTAAAATATAATATTGTAATGATGTATGAGTAATGATGAATTAATAATATTTTTTAGGTCACTTAAACCAATCAATTAGTTGGATTCAAAACAATCATATCCCACTGCACATCTCCCTGACATGTTGATCAAATAAATAATCAAGCTAAAGTGATGCCGACTCAGCATCAACATGAAGGTTCATGCAGTCAGTCCTACATGATATATAGCTTGTTAGAAGAAAATAAAACTGGATACATATATTCATTAGAAAAGATTCTCTCTCCTACACAGACTTGACTTGACTGACTTTTAAGTTGCACCGCACTCAACCTGTGCACCAATCGATTCAGCCTTTGTATAGGCATCAGAAGTGGCTGTGTAGGAGGCTGCAACCACTCAACGTTGCTCGGAATGGGAATGTGGTGGGCGGCTGTAACATTCATCTTTTTTATTTTATTTTATTTTTTCTTTTTAATATCGTAACAATTCACAATCTCCCATCCAAAGTAATAAAATAAAATTATTATTCATTTTTGCTTGTCGAGTCATGATTTCGTCTCCACTAAACCATTAAAGAATCCGTTTCACATTAGTTTATTAGTTTTAATTAGTTTTTTCATAACATCTATTATGTATGTATCCATGATATTATCCTTTATTATTATTTTTTTAAGAAAATAGGTATCATCCTTCATTATTTTATTTATTATTTTAAGAAAATAATATTGAACTCCTATGTGTTTTCACCCAGGATATAAGATTGAATTTTTGCTTATGTCTCCACTAAAATTAGTAGAGTCATGATTATATCTCTACTAAATTATTCATTTTTTATTATGTCTCCACTAAACCATTAGAAAATCTGTTTCACATGAATTTATTAGTTTTTATTAGTTTTATCATAGCATGATTATCCATTGTGTTGATCTTCTATATGTCTATGATATTAGACTTTTATGTGCTTTGAATCAGAATATAAGATTGGATTTCATACGATGTATAAAGCACTTTGATTCACAATAACTCAAGTTGCCTCTTTCCAAGCTTGTTTAGTTGTTATATACTCGATGTAATTTTTTAAAAATAGTTATATCTTTCTTTATTTTCTGTCTCAATTAATTTACATCTTTAGAATCTTATTTGCTAGTCCCAAGTCCCTCTCTTCCTAGCCAATTATCTTTAATTCTTTGACTTGATGTTTATTAGATAGTCATTGACCAACAAGTCATCAACATACAATATTAAGATAAGAAAACTAGCATCATATCTCTTGTAATAGATTGAATCTATTATGTCGAACAGTAGCGATAAAGGAATCAAATATCTTGTACCAATAATTTGATTTTTGCTTTAAATCATACGGATATTTGTTTAACCTGCAAACTAAGTACCTTTTTCCTTTCTCAACAAAGCTCTCTGGTTGGAGCATATAGGTTTCTTTTTCAAATTCACCATAATAAAATGTCTCACATCTAATTATTCCGGATGTAAGTCAAATAAGTATTCGAACTATAGTAAGTCAAATAATAAAATTTTTTTTATTAAAATTAGTATTTTTTTAACATATTTTTCACCGGTACATCATGCCACTCAACTTTATTGTTGTTATCTCTCTTAATCTTATAGACCCATCTATTTTTAATAAAATTTTATTTTATGGTAGATGAACATGTTCACATATTTTATTTTTGTGTAGAGCTTTAATTTCTTGCTAGATTGTTATCATCTACAAAGATATATATGGACTACATGTAGCTTAGCCTTCTAGAAAATTGATGACTCTTCATCTTTTGTTAGAAAAAAAAATAATACGCATAACATTACCCTCTCACGAGTTGATTGTTAGACTTGTTAACCTTGAATTGCATTGATACTCGTTCATTATACTCCGACATCATCGCTTATGAACAATTTCGATTTTTTGATATTGAATCTTTTTTACTTGAACTTAGTAGTTTTTGAACTTTTTATCATCATGTAAACACCAATACCCTTTTGTCCATATTTAACAAAGCTAACATCTATACTGATAATTAACTTGTACTTAGTGATATCCCTTAACTCCATCAAGATAACTCGAGAATATATTTTTCTGAACTTAGAATCAAGCTTTGTTCTGTCTTTATTCTGAACTTAGAATACATACATTATATACGTACGTAGGACAACCAAATATATGTAAAGAAGAAGCTTACCAATCCATATATTTATTGATAGGTGTCTTAAACTCAATTGCAATCGGGAGACTAATTAATAGCATAATAAATAGGTAGTCTTTACTACTTTTGCCCAAAATGACTTGGGCAGACATATAGTATTAGTAATGCTTTAGTCCTCTTCAAAAGAGTGAGTTATATGTTTGTTTATCCGCTCGATCATACCCATTTTGTTAGGATTGTACGAATATCAAACTCTCTCCACTCGTATATTCTTCTTCTTCATTATCTATCTACAAACAAACAGTTGATCCTTTTCCCATATTCAAGTCTTACCATTGATTTAAATGATGAAAATACTGAAAACACATATGTATTTTTCTTGTTTGAATACACTCAGCATTAATGAATAAGGGAAAATAATTTATGCCGCTTAGTGATGTAATTGATGACTGACTTCCAAATATCAAAATGAATCGATGCAAGCATGTATGTTAATCTAACAAATTTTAATCTATGTTTTTTACTTGTTACACAATGCTTATAATAATACTATATATATATATATATATATATATATATATATATATATATTTATATATATTAGTTGTGATCTTCTCTTCCTTTGTAACTAGGATACAATCTTCTTAATCTTATTCTCGGGTATGTTGTTAGATTTTTATGTCCTTTTTAATTGGATAAGATATATAAAATAACTAATTGGATTCTTATGAAATATTTTAGCCAGGATTCCTTTGGAGATAACCTTGATGGGAGGAAATCTCCTAATATCTTATCCTAAATCCTTTGCTCTCGCCTATAAATAGACAGGATTCTGTCACGTACGAGACCTCTAGTACTGAATGTATGCATCATTAAACTAGATCTAAGTAATTGATTTCAATCCTGGCATACATATTATTTTCGTATTTTAATACAGCATATTACAGATTTTTATGCTTATATCATAGCCTAGGTTTTTGATATCAAATGCATTAGATCTATTAATTTATTTACGATGCATGGATTACCTTTATCCTCTCAGAATTGCTAAGCAGCAATGGTCATCGTCAACCTTGCTACGAATCTGTTGGCGGCAACGTCTGCATGCCTGCCCCAGCGGTGGCAGCCGTACGCGGGCATCACAATGCCCATGCGACGGTCGGTCGCACACACGCAAAGAGCCCCGACGGCGACCGGGTGGGCCGCACCCACGCAGCGACCTCAAGTGGCCAGGTGCCGCGCACAAGCGGCGTCCGTGAGCGGGTAGGCCGTGCCCAAGCAGCAGCGACCGCACGCGAGCAGGAACTGCCGCAACGACAACGACTGTGCGTGGGCAGAGGCAGCCTTGCGGCGGTAGCGACCCTATGCGGGCAGGTACCGCCACAGCGGCTGCGCGCTGGCAACAGTCACGGCTAGCCGTGCACGTCGCGCGCGGGTAGCGGCAGCATCGCAACGGTCGCACGCGAGCAGTGGCAGCCCCGCAGCAACAGCGCTGTGGCGGCAACGGCCGCGCGTAGGCAACCGCACCGCTGGTAGCAGCAGCAGCGCCGCACGTGCAAGCGGCGACGGTGAGGCAGATTAGGGTTTTTGGCATAATTATGGTTTTGACCTCGAGGCTAGGTTTTACAAAATTATAGTTATGCCCTTTGTAAATTTTGTTATTCCAATTTATGTTCTGTCAACATATTTATAGTTTTGCCCTCGGGTCTAATTTCTGCCAAATTATAATTCTGCCCTTCATAAATCGTATATTTTTTATTTATATCCTATCAAATATTTATAGTTTTATCATTATGAAATTAAGAAATTTAGTTTATGTTCTCAATTATAAAATTAATAATATGATTTATTATAATTATGATTAAATTTAATCATGATTATATTTTTGATCATTTGATTAGATTTAATATATATATATATATATATATATATATATATATATATATATATATAACTATAAAATATGGTTTAGTTTTATAGTTTTCTCATATGAATTATTGATTATACATGTGGTAAATAAAATCAAAATTTAATTATTATTTTTAGAATTTTATTTACTTATTC